AGTCAGCATCATCATCAGCAGCATCGTCATCATCCTCATCACAATCATCATCAGCATCGCCATAATAAGCATCATCAGCATCAGCATCATAAGTATCATCATCAGTATTATCATCATTGTCGTCATCATCACCATCATAATTGTCATCGTCGTTGTCGTCGTCATCGTCATCGTTATCGTCATCACCATGATCAACAACAGTAATGTTAAGAGTGCTCGCTTTCAGGTGCTCACGTGTCGTTCAACAATTACACGCACTCTTCGTCTTTGAACGTACTCCCTTGGGGGATATCTTGCTTCCGTGCCACGTGTAATTGACGCAACCCTTGAAACAGGAAGAACAAAAATAACGGAAAAAAGGGAGGGGGGAGTGAAGGGGGCAAGAGGGAAGGAGGGGGAAGAAGGAGGACGAGAGGGATTAGCAAGATGGACTAGCAACAGGAGATGGCAAGGAACACTCAGGCGAGAACGGGGACCCTGAATGAATGACGAAGACGTCCAGAGCAACAGCGCGATTCCAGAGCGCCGGGACAGCGATTTGCAATAAAGTATAACGACATCTCGAGAGAGAGAGAGAGCGCAGTTCCTGGAAAAATGTCAAGGAGGTCGCGAGCGAAAGCCTGAATTCTCCATACATTGTGAACACATACCAGGCGGGAGCGCTGTTGTTGGAAACTGGCGGCCAACAACACAATCCAGAGACCAAAGATTTCCTTTCAAAGACAGGACCGAATCCCGGGGGGGAAAACTCCGATTCAAAAACAACATTGGGCACTTGAGGGTGGACCAACAATAATTCTTTACGATATAAAAAACTCCACAACATCATCCGCGTCATCATCCTGAATCATGATGAACATTTCATCCATCTCATCCTCGATATGTATACTTTTCCCTCCTGGTATTTCATCACGATCCGTCTTCATCTTTCTCTTCCTCCTCATCATCATAAGCATCCTCATAATCGTCATCGACGTCGTCGTCATCACCTTCACAATCGCCATCGCCGTCGGCACCATCATCATCAGAACTTCATCATCAGCAGCACCAGCATTCCATCAGCATCACCAGCATCACTCGTCATCGTCATCATCGGAAACATCCTCATCATACTGGGCATTCAGTTCGGTAACCATCAGCATCTTCGTCGTCATCGGAATCGTCAGATTCACCACATCATCATCCCGACCCGAATCATGATCACCAGCATCCGCAGGAACATCATCACCATCACCATCACCTTCACCATCATCACGATCATCCGCGTGGCCCTCGGCGTCTTCCGCAAGGGCGGGGGAAGGCCCTGAATCGAGGATCGAGGAGCAGGCATCGAAGATCGAGGAATTGCGTTGTCCCGAGGACCGAGCACGACCTCCTTCAGGGAGCCCCTGCATTCTTAGAGAGCCGCCTGCCTTGTTAGAAGGCCGCCCCCCTTTCGCCACCTTTCCCTGTGGGCCACCGAAGTCGTCACGGGACCAAACAAAATTACGCTACCGAAGAACCCAACATACTTACAAAATGTATGGCGCGATGATAGCTGACGTGAAACTTGCGAGAATGATGCAGACGACGGGTTCAGCAAGCGCCTAACCAAGCACTGCCTCACGGCATCGTCGGCGCCTCGTTGACGTGGCAACTGATTGCACCTGGTGAGGAGAGTGTCAGGCCACCAGTTTGCCAGCTTTTGGTGGTGAGCATCATGTGCGCCGCGTGCCAATGCGTTCCCATGCCGCACAGCATAGCCGCGCAAACCATCCAGGTTCACCTCGGCGCCCTTCTCTAGCATTGATTTCTTGAACTGCTCGCACGGCGGTGGCAAAGCGGACATTGCGCTTTGGGCATCATGACGGGGACCGTACCTTCGACGGAGAGTCACCAGCGGTCGTCCGCGTTCAAATGTCGAGCAGTCTGAGCCCGCATGAGCCAAGGTGGATACAGTTCTTGATGATGTTGATGATGATAGCCCTCCCCCGCTTGCGTGCCCCTGTGGCCTCGAGAAAGCATCACGCGGGCTAGGCCCTGGGAGACAGACCCCCCTGCGCACCCCCATATGGCGTCGAGAAACTGCAACGCCTGCTATGCCCTGGACGACCGTCGAGCATAGCGGCCGCGGTGAGAGACCACCCCCTGCGCACACCCTATGGCTTGGAGAAAATGCAACGCCTGCTGTGCCTGGACGACCGTCGAGCATAGCGGCCGCGGTGAGAAACCACCCCCTACACAACCCCTATGGTGTCGAGAAAATGCCGCGACTGCTGTGTCTGGACGACCGGCGAGAATAGCGGCCGCGGTGAGAGACCACCCCCTGCGCATCCCCATATGGTTTCGAGAAACTGCCACGCCTGCTGCGCCTGGACGACCGTCGCGCATAGCGGCCGCGGTGAGAGACCACCCCCTGCGCACCCCCTTATGGTGGGGAGGAAATGCCACGCCTTCTGTGCCTGAACGACCGTGCGCATACGTCTTGGGTGTATGATGCAACACGCCTGCCACGCCTGCCACGCCCTGCGAATATTGCGCGTATGTGTTGTGTGGTGTGCGTGTCATGTGTATGGTGCGTGTGCGGATGTATCTGGGCGTGTGTCTCATTGGGGTGCCCAGTATGTGGCGCATTTCGTGGTGCGTGTATGATGCAGTGAACACGCCAAGCGTGCACTGGCGTTGTAAGTGCGTGTGTGTGTGCGTATCTGCGAGGTGTGCATGCGTGCGGCGGTATGTAGACGTGCGTCTCATGTACGTGCCGTGCATGTGTTGCGCGTGGGTGAGGGGACAAAGGAAGAGGAAGAGGGGAGGAGGGTGGAGGGAGGGAGGTGTGAGGGAGGAGACGCGGGTGCGACGCGGCAGGGAAGAGAACCAGAACCTCACGAAACACGTGGGGGAAAAAAACACACCACAACAACAACAACAACAACAACAACAACAACAACAAACAAAAAAAAGCGGGTCGGCAGCAGCAGCCAAGCGAATACGTCGACGTCTTCGTCGTTGCGATTGGTACATTCCTGCAGGTTCTCGTGGCCACTACTGGACGCGCCGCCGACTGCGTCGCGACACAGATCACGACGGACTGTCTCCTAGACGCCGGCCCACGAGTACCACTTCTGGGCCCTGGGGCCATGAAAACGTTGCCTGAATCCAGGAAGCACGATCACAGCCACAGCCTTCCCGCAGCCTGCCGCACACGCTGCACCAACCCCGAGTGCTGACCCGCCTCGAAGGAAACTCGCCTTATCCCATGGGTTTCAGGAGCTTCAAAGTTGTATCTGATAGCGCTTTCTTGGGAGCAGAAGGGGGAGGACGATTGAGCACGCCGAAGAATTTTCGGTCTCGGCCACCAAGTCCTGCTGGAGCCGACCGCAAAGCGAAGGCTCGGGAGATGCTGGGGGGAAGTTTTGCCTGCTCGGCAAGCGAGAACCCCCTAATCAAGACCCCACTCAAAACCAGACAGCGTCCCCACCCCAATCCGTCGGTGCTGCCGTACACAGCTGACGGCGGCGAGGGCAATGATGAAGAAGAACAAAAGGACGGAGGCAAGGGTCACCCGTGCAGAAGCAAAAATACTGGTACCAATACTGACCAAACCTTTCCTCGGGTGACGTCTGACCAGGATTCCGTGGCGGATCCAGCTGTCGCGACGAGGGACCCCAGAAAGGCGAAAACGAGGGAAGGGCATCGGCTTCGACATGCTGTTCTGCTCCGAAACTGGCTCGACCTGCCGAAGGCAAAGAATCCCTGCAAGCACTGCGCACTCCCCAGGTCTTCGACGACTCGACACTTTCGAGCACCCGGCCCTCAGACCTCTCGGACCCTTCCATGAGCTTGGGACCGGCTCTTCATCCTGGGCCGTTCCGTGACGGCCCAGGGCCCGAAAGCGGCCTCCAGGAGGGCCGCAATGCAGAATAACTTGGACTCGATGTGTTCGAGCCCCTTGAGATCCTGGCTGGGCCAAGACCCCAATGACACCATCGCACCAGATGCCCACAATGCTGGGATTTCGAGCACCTTGCCCCGCCCATCCTCGGCGCGTCATCACGGAGACTGCGCGGCGGCGTTGGGAAGCCGCCGCGCCACGCAAGCGCCGAACACCACGGTGAGCCCCACCCTGGTCTGGAAAAGTGATACAACCCTCGCGCGCTGTCAATACCCCCGCGCCCCTCAGTTTCGATGATCGCGCCTGGCGCCGCTCGCTCCGAGTTTCCCGCTGCGTGCCGCAGCTGGCTCAGCACTGGCATCGGGGAGTCCAGGGGGGAGGGCAAATAAAGCAAAAAATGGTCGCATTGCTTTTCCAAGGGGGTGAGATGGGGTAGTGTCGTTTTGCTCTTGATCGATGGTCCATGATGGGCCCTACCCATGACTCCGACGTCGTGGTTTTTGCACATGGGCCACGGATTTTTTGGACCCCTTCCGTGGGACCGGTTTTTCGTGCGGGGCCGTTTGTTGACGGTCGCGGGTCCTCGTAAAGACCCCCAGAGGCCGAAAGTGGCCAAAAGCCGTCCGCCGTGATCCTTTCACGACGCGAGGGGGTCTGGAAGTGGCGACCCCCTCTGGCGCTGCCTGGCCCTCTGGCCCGCGGTGGCCCACCTGGGCGGCGCCGTCCTTGATGCGGCTCTCGTGACCTGCGACGCTCCATCCCCAAGATAACAACAGATCCCCGGGGGCATCCCTAGGAGGCTTTTGGACCAACGTGGTTCCAAGATGGCCTCACCGAGCCAAAGACGGCCTTCAAGATGGCTTAGCATTCCCCAAAATTGCCCAAGATGGCCACCACTGTGCCCCCATGAGTGCGGGCCTCCGCGGGGACTCTCTGCCCAGCAGCTGGCCAGCGGCTGCTCAGATGCTCCTCCGCCACCCTCTCCTCCTCCTCATCCTCCTACACATCCTTCCCATCCTTCCCCGTCTCCTCCACCACCCCTATTCCTCCTCCCAGGAGGGATGGTTACGTGTTGCTGTTGGTCGGCAGGCCACCCAACTCAATGCAGCAACAGATCCCCGGGGCGCTC